GTCAGAAAAGATTAAATGTCTCGTTACACAACAGCGGTCCCAACAAAGCAGACCAAGTGTTAATCCACAAGAGGAATGGAGCAGAGAAAAAGGTCCGAACCAAACAGCTACACCCTTTCTGCTGCTGTGACCTAGAGTTTTGTAGCAATTTAATACTATTGTTAGTCACTTTTAGAATTATCCATTTATTTTGTTTGTATGGATACATGTGTTTCTGCTGCTACTGGACAGTATAGAATTTACCATACGGGGATCAATAAAGTATCTACTGTATCTATCTATGTCTATCTTAGATCAGAGGAAGAGGTCACCGTGGTAACCCTACTAGAATAAAAGGAGAAGCAAAAGCACTCAGGTTAGGCACACATCAAGCAATATCTTTTATTTAACAAATTAGATAATAAATAATACATTAATAAGATAATAAACTCTGGAGATATAGCTGCTCTTGGGTCAATGATAAGTCACTTGTGGAGTATAAACTGTAGTAAACAACATCAGGAGGATTCACATTTACAGATGGCAGATATTGTACTTTAGCAGCAGAGAATATAAACAGACTAATAATAGTGATAATAGCAGCAGGTAAAGTGACTAGTGAATTACCAGAACTGTCCAGGCTCAGCAGTTCTCATTCAATCTGGAGAGACTTGAACAGACAGAACATGGGTATTATTAGAATTGTATATTGGCCTGCAGTAATCTAACACTACATCTTTTACACATATGAGTCTGAGTCTATCATTTTCACTAATATATTTATTGTTGCTGTGGTTAGGATTTGGCGCTTAGACCCCGGCAGAGCACTGCACGATTGCAGAAGGGGAAAGAGATTATGAGATTAAATCCCCCGGGCCCTAGACGCTGGTGGTGGTAGCTAGGAGAAGGATGAAAGAGGTGGAACCCCGAACGAGGCAGAGATGAGGAGGAGGAGGGTTGTGGCATGAGTGAAACTGCTGCTTAGATGGAGCTTCCTCGCAATATCAAGCTTGATAGGCAGTGCTTGATTGCTGCAGGTGAGGATTGCTGTGTGGCGTTGCAGCTAAGTGTGACCGACTGATGATGTTGCCGTTAGCAAAAGTGGGAGGACTTTGAGCGCTGAGAGCTTAGTTCTTCCAGTCTGAGTATAAAGATGGATGATGCTAACTAACGCAGAGGTGGCCAAACTCTTTAGTAACATGGTCAAGTTTAGTTAATCAGAGTTGTCTTGAGGCAGACATTATGGATTCAGGCTGTTCATGAGGTCCATATCTTGACAAAGCTAAAGTTGGCCGAATGACAAATGTTCCCCATCTCACCGTGTACATTAGTGATATCTACATGGTTGTTGGTTGTGACTCTAAGATAAATGTTAATAAACTCAAACAAAGCCATTTGCGACAATTCATATTTTATTATTTGTTATATTTTAAGCATGAGTCAATTACAAATGAAAACAATGTGGTGTGTTTACACTACAGCTCCTCCGGTTCATTATTTCACACTGTCCCAAATAGATTTCAAATAGAACAAAAACAACATAACATGCTTGTATTGTCTGTGCTGAAGTTGGCTGGATGGCACTATGAACTGATGATCTGATAGACAATTAGCGAGTAAGCAGCAGAGGGGCACTTATGGGGACTTAGAAGGCCTTAGTTGGGACATGCCTGCTATAGTTCAAGCCCAGGAGGGTTTTGCTCCAATTTGCTTATATGTATTATTATTGACTTCCATTTAAAAAGTAAACTCCTCCTGCTTTTCTTGTAAACTCAGATAAGGGGATATGCCTTAATTCGCAGGGGAAACTCACAGACCGTATATTAGTAGTGGACTGACCGAGTGTGACATCACCATAATGTAGCCTTCTTATGGAAGAAGCTGATTTGAACATAAGCTAGCTGAAGCCGCTTTCCTTATATGGGCATGTGTTCCACTACGTTAGCTTTGTGCCGTATCAGGGGGAGACCTAGCCTGGTCGTACCACACCTTAGTACAAATTACATTTCATACTAAGGTCTGGATTTGCTCCATTGAGCTCCGCTAACAGGTGGGAGGGGTTAACTCCTTTTGCAGATTGAAACGATTGGATCTGAGTTTACCGTGAGGTATGTAGTGCGCCCGAGTCTGTTGTTAGCATTTAGCCTAGCCATCTCCTTTGCTGCTCTTGACCAGCGATTACATTTGCTAAACATTCCTCTTGCTCCTGCTTCAATTTCTTGATAGAACCAGACCGGATTACTTTACTATCGCATTCTTCGCCACTGCCAAACTACAACCTGCCCGTTCGGCGCAAACTCTACACGGCACCGACCTATAACACCCGCCTTCCGCGCTCTCTGAGTAGCCGGTCGAAATACGACCGATTGTAATGACAAACACAGGGACCAGACCCAGACGTTACATGCAGTGAAATGATGATGGAGCGGAGTGTACGGATGGCTATGGCCAGGCTAGGGCAGACCTGTTGCTAAGATAGTTGTTAAGGAAAGCTGTAGTTTCCTCCACGAATGAAGGGATCTGATTGGTCAATCCTTGCAATGATTATAAGGAGGCATAAGAAACGTTCATTCATTCACTCCATACTCAATGCAATTGATGTGTGTGCAATGATGTGGACTCTAACATTGTGGACTTGGTGGATTAGTAAAGTGTGGCCTGTAGCGGAATGCAATGTGTTTTCTGTTTGTTTGTTATTTTCCTCCTTTTTTTCTGTTAATGTGGCTGTATTTTACCCATGTGACCCTGACCCTATGGGACTGCAGATGGAAATTAGCCTTTTGCTATAATCTGGCGTGTTTACATTCATGTTTTTAATGTGTCTGTTCATTGACATGCACTGTCCCATTCAAATAATAAATAAATAAACTCTACTACTACTACTATGACTACTTTTGTAGCCACAGCTGCCCTGGGGCACACTGACAAGAGCAAGGCAACCAGTATGTACCCACCATTCACACACATAGCAGACTCATTCTAATGTGAGTGAAGTGTCTTGCCTAAGGACAGAACAACAGGCACTTTACAGCCACAGCCGTCCCACTGTAGCACCTTCCTTAAAATGGCCTTTAAGGCTCATATCTGGATACACAAAGACAATACCACAACATAAACACCACTTTAGACTTACAAAATCTGTTATTTAACGCCCTCAATGATCCTGGTCTTTGTAAATCCAGATATGAGTAATAGAAGGATTAACCAATCAGATGCCTTCATTCACTTCCCAGTCTATATTGAGCTCTCCAAGACCAGATTGGTTCTTGTGGAGCCAAATTTGGTCTTGGACGAAGTTTGGTCCCACCTTCAGGCAGCGTGCAAACTTCTCCAGCTGAACCACACCAGCAGATACACTTCCTCGTGACTTAACAATAACACAACGATACCAGGTGAACCCGCGGTCACACACACGGCACTGTGAGCCGCGTAATGCGCTGGCGGCGGCGGTTGGAAAGCCTAATGAAGTCCCCGTTAATACATTACAATATATTAGCCGTGGATGAATCAGCCGTGACATAACGAGCCCCCGGAGCGCCCATATTTAGCCGCACACACACTTCCTGTCACACCTGTTTTATTATGGTGAGTGGAGCGTGGCAAGGAGCAGTCACCTGGGGCCACACACACACACACATGTGTGCACACACACACATACACGTACCAACACATAATTCCACTCACACACACGCATAAATCCACACATGTACTCACACACAGGGTCAGAATGTTACCGCGGCGACCGGTGGTGACACTATCTATTAGACGCATTTGATCTCATTCATGCGTTTTAATTAAAGAAAATGCAGCGGTGCTGCTGTCGTGGAGGCACATCTCACACAAACACGAGAGGACGTAACTGGGACTGTAACATTCATTTAGATTATCATTTATTCATTTATTGCTTCCTTTGGTCTTTAGTAAACAACAGTTACTCAGGAATTATGTTGTTTTATACAGTAACCTGTTTTTGTTCTGGGCTTATCATTATCTGTGAGTCCTTAATAAAGTCTAAACAAATAAATAAATAATCTGCTGACTCCAAAACCTGAAAAATGAATAAGGAAAAGTGTCTTTTTTGTGGCAATTTTTGATAAGCGTGCAATAATAATAATTCAAAAAGAGAATTAATAAATATATGCAAACACGCATCACATACACACACATAGATCCAGGACAACAATGGAAAAGGTGACTCAAGTTTAGCCCTTCTCCAACCGGCTCTATCTGGCAATACTCCGCTCTACTCTACTCTACTCTACTATACTCCGCTCTACTCTACTCTACTCTACTATACTCTCCCCTGATTGGGTGTGTTTCCCCTGGCCCAGTTTAACCAGTGCCTGGTCCTTCATTAGTCCCTCTTGGTCCTGGTTCCTTCCAGGCCGCGCTGGTACTAAAGTGTTCTAACTGATAGTGATTTGCCCGAGTGCCGCTGGAAGCCATGGTTACCAAAATATGGATACTAGTTTCATTTTGAAAATGTTTGAATGACTTAAATCATTTTTAAATGTTATATGATATACTGTATCAAGCCATGGTAGTGCTGTACTACCATCAATATTGTTTGGCAGTTTATCATAATCATTTAAAGTTAAGGGGCCACTAAAAATGGTCTGGTATTTGACACCTGTGAGTAGAGTAGAGTAGAGTAAAGTAGAGTAGAGTAGAGTAGAGTAGAGTAGAGTAAAGTAGAGTAGAGTAGAGTAGAGTAGAGTAGAGTAGAGTAGAGAAGGGTAGGCTAGAGTAGGGTAGGGTAGAGTAGAGTAGAGTAGAGTAGAGTAGAGAAGGGTAGGCTAGAGTAGAGTAGAGTAGAGTAGAGTAGAGTAGAGTAGAGTAGAGTAGAGTAGAGTAGGGTAGGGTAGGGTAGGGTAGGGTAGAGTAGAGTAGAGTAGGGTAGAGTAGAGTAGAGTAGGTTAGGGTAGGGTAGGGTAGGGTAGGGTAGTGTAGAGTAGAGTAGAGTAGAGTAGAGTAGAGTAGAGTAGAGTAGAGTAGGGCTGGTGCACTATAGTCTGGACTAGATGCAGAAACAGGAGACAGAGACAGTGCTGGTGCAGCTCGTTCTAATCATATTTCACATCTCCATAAGAGGATATGAGAGCGCTGCACCATCACACAGGTGCAAGGCTTCAGGGCACAACATCACGGACAGTTCTGATACATATCTGTGTGGTTTCTCCTGCCGCACCCTGGACCATGACTGCACCCTGGACCATGACTGCACCCTGGACCATGACTGCACCCTGGACTATGACTGCATCCTGGACCATGACTGCACCCTGGACTATGACTGCACCCTGGACCATGACTGCACCCTGGACCATCACTGCACCCTGGACCATGACTGCACCCTGGACCATGACTGCACCCTGGACTATGACTGCACCCTGGACCATGACTGCACCCTGGACTATGACTGCACCCTGGACCATGACTGCACCCTGGACCATCACTGCACCCTGGACCATGACTGCACCCTGGACCATGACTGCACCCTGGACCATGACTGCACCCTGGACCATGACTGCACCCTGGACCATGACTGCACCCTGGACCATCACTGCACCCTGGACCATGACTGCACCCTGGACCATGACTGCACCCTGGACCATGACTGCACCCTGGACCATGACTGCACCCTGGACCATGACTGCACCCTGGACCATCACTGCACCCTGGACTATGACTGCACCCTGGACCATGACTGCACCCTGGACCATCACTGCACCCTGGACCATGACTGCACCCTGGACCATCACTGCACCCTGGACCATGACTGCACACTGGACCATGACTGCACCCTGGACCATGACTGCACACTGGACCATGACTGCACCCTGGACCATCACTGCACCCTGGATCATGACTGCACCCTGGACCATGACTGCACCCTGGACCATCACGGCACCCTGGACCATGACTGCACCCTGGACCATGACTGCACCCTGGACCATCACTGCACCCTGGACCATGACTGCACCCTGGACCATCACTGCACCCTGGACCATGACTGCACCCTGGACCATGACTGCACCCTGGACCATCACTGCACCCTGGACCATGACTGCACCCTGGACCATCACTGCACCCTGGACCATGACTGCACCCTGGACCATGACTGCACCCTGGACCATGACTGCACACTGGACCATGACTGCACCCTGGACCATGACTGCACCCTGGACCATGACTGCACCCTGGACCATCACTGCACCCTGGACCATGACTGCACCCTGGACCATGACTGCACCCTGGACCATCACTGCACCCTGGACCATGACTGCACCCTGGACCATGACTGCACACTGGACCATGACTGCACCCTGGACCATCACTGCACACTGGACCATCACTGCACCCTGGACCATGACTGCACCCTGGACCATCACTGCACCCTGGACCATGACTGCACCCTGGACCATGACTGCACCCTGGACCATGACTGCACCCTGGACCATGACTGCACCCTGGACCATGACTGCACCCTGGACCATCACTGCACCCTGGACCATGACTGCACCCTGGACCATCACTGCACCCTGGACCATGACTGCACCCTGGACCATGACTGCACCCTGGACCATGACTGCACCCTGGACCATGACTGCACCCTGGACCATCACTGCACCCTGGACCATGACTGCACCCTGGACCATCACTGCACCCTGGACCATGACTGCACCCTGGACCATGACTGCACCCTGGACCATCACTGCACCCTGGACCATGACTGCACCCTGGACCATGACTGCACACTGGACCATGACTGCACCCTGGACCATGACTGCACCCTGGACCATCACTGCACCCTGGACCATGACTGCACCCTGGACCATGACTGCACCCTGGACCATGACTGCACCCTGGACCATGACTGCACACTGGACCATGACTGCACCCTGGACCATGACTGTACCCTGGACCATCACTGCACCCTGGACCATGACTGCACCCTGGACCATGACTGCACCCTGGACCATGACTGCACCCTGGACCATGACTGCACCCTGGACCATCACTGCACCCTGGACCATGACTGCACCCTGGACCATGACTGCACCCTGGACCATCACTGCACCCTGGACCATGACTGCACCCTGGACCATGACTGCACCCTGGACCATGACTGCACCCTGGACCATGACTGCACACTGGACCATGACTGCACCCTGGACCATGACTGCACCCTGGACCATGACTGCACCCTGGACCATCACTGCACCCTGGACCATGACTGCACCCTGGACCATGACTGCACCCTGGACCATCACTGCACCCTGGACCATGACTGCACCCTGGACCATGACTGCACACTGGACCATGACTGCACCCTGGACCATGACTGCACCCTGGACCATGACTGCACCCTGGACCATGACTGCACCCTGGACCATGACTGCACCCTGGACCATGACTGCACCCTGGACCATGACTGCACCCTGGACCATCACTGCACCCTGGACCATGACTGCACCCTGGACCATGACTGCACCCTGGACCATCACTGCACCCTGGACCATCACTGCACCCTGGACCATGACTGCACCCTGGACCATCACTGCACCCTGGACCATCACTGCACCCTGGACCATGACTGCACCCTGGACCATCACTGCACCCTGGACCATCACTGCACCCTGGACCATGACTGCACCCTGGGTCCCACATGGACAGAAACTTATGGAAGTGCCTATCCATCCATCCTTTTTCTTCCGCTTCATCTGTGGCCTGGTCGCGGGGGCAGCAGTCTGAGCAGAGACGCCCAGACTTCCCTATCCACACACACTTCCTTCAACGAATCCTAGGTCTTCCACGGGAACACATCCCCAGGAAAGCTTCCAGGAGGCATCCGGAACAGATTCCTGAGCCACCTCAACTAGTTCCTCGCGACATGAAGAAGCAGCGGCTCTACTCCGAGTCCAAAGTGTCTATTGGACTGGTTTAATTTTTAGTTGATTGTTCATTTGAAAAATGACATTTACCGACTGTATTTAACAAAAAAAGAAGGATTGGGCTGAAGCTGCTGATGTAAGCCCACCCTGATGTGAACCCACCCTCTATGAAATCTTGTGGTGTCTGTGGGTCACTACCAGAGTGTCAGGGCTTCACGACATATCGAAAAAATATTGTTATTGCAATATTGGTGCGTGCGATATCCATATAAAAAATATCCGTGATATTTTTGTTAAAGACAACAAAACAGACATTCAAACAAACAAAAAAGTAAATAAATATTTGCATTTGAATGTCATTATTGTTGTGCTTTTTTTTTTTTATTTGTCTCTTGCGTTTCAATGCAGATTGCAATTTTAGGTGAAAGACGGAAAAATCGCAATAATATTGTTATCGCAATAGTAAACACTCATCAAATATTGCTATATTTTTCCAATGTCGTGCAGCCCTATTGTCTTATGTGTCTGTGTTCTGTATTCTCTGAGTTCGGGACAGATGCACGTACTTCTGCTTTCAGAGCCGAGATGGAGATCAGACGTTCCAAATCTGTCTGATCTGTGTGACTTTCACTGGACTCTGTTTTGTGACCATGTGATCGGGTCCTTGAAAAACCCAGGGACTTTCTTGACAACGCAGACTTTTCTCAATGATGCTGGATCCTGACCTGCACTTTGGGCCATTGAGGAGTAATTGGGATATAGGCGACAGTCCTGTGTGTGCCCCAAGACCCACGGACATGTTGGAGGACCTACGAGAAAAGAAAATACCAGATTCAGATTCATTGTATTTGCCAATTGCCGTAAAACCACATTAGAATTCATTGGAATAATAAAGATACACAAAACTGAAAGGTACAAATTATTTTCTGAATTCGTTAAACAAGGCCTATCACTCTAACAGGTTCCAGTGGATTATATTGGTGCGACCGTCGATGAGTTCAGCAGTGCGAGTGCGAGGTGTGTGTGTGTGTGTGTGTATACGTCCCCACAAGGTCAATAGTATTTGCGGTTTACGAATACTAGACAAGACATAGTTATTCATCACTGTCCAAAGTTAATTCAGACACAAGTTATTTTCAATGCAGGTTCAATACCACAATGATGAGAGAGATATTTGTTTAGTATTAATTTCTACATAGTCAGACATTTACACATGCCAGGAATATTTGATAGATTAACATAGAGTAGACATCACCTCCCAGACAATATTATAAACTAATATAAACACTCAGTCTTTCAAATGTCCTATTGTGATGAACGAGCAAACCCAGAAGGTGCTATGTGCTGTTACCTTTAAACTATGTGGGTCAAACCTGGTGCTTATACAGTACTTCCATAAGATTCTCAGGATAGTTGTCTGGAATTCTGGCACATTTCTCCCACCAGATAGGGTTTGTAGTTAGTGAATTCAATTGCAAATTTTCTTGCAGTTCTGGAGTGTGTGTGTGTGTGTGTGTGTGTGTGTGTGTGTGTGTGTATGTGTGTGAGAGAGTGTGTGAGAGAGTGTTCAGTGTGGGGGTTGGTGGTCCGAGCTGCTGCCGGCCTCAAATATACAAGGTCCCGAAGGACACATTAGGCAGTTTGAGTTTGTGTGTTTGTTTGTGTGTGTGTGTGTGTGTATGTGTGTTTGTGTGTTTGTGTGTGAGGGATGGAGCCCTATTGATCCCCAATCTGCTCTCAACTCCAATCAGCGGAAAAAAGTACAATAAAGAAACATTCAGTTAGAGACGTGACATGACACGTATTATTATAGATTTAGTCTCTTTGAAATCCTGACATTGATCTAAAAAAATTGCACAAACTTCCATATTCAGTCCTGCCATGTCGCTCTGTGCTCTTCCCCTTTGCGCAACGTCAGCTTCTTCTTGAGTCATACATATTCGACAGTGAGTACTTTTAGCACAAGTGAAAGAAGTCAGTTTGGTGCAAATGTATAAACCAGATCTTACTGAGACAAGGCCAGCAGATGCATGTAAGAGCACAGGGGAAAACATGTGGTGCAGCAGAAGGCAAGGCAAGTTTATTTATATAGCACAGTTCATACACAAGGGAACTCAAAGTGCTTGAGCGGTATATTTAGCCTTGTTTCCACCAGCCCTTTGTGACCCTACTCTACTCAGCTCTGCACTCCCCTGATTGGGGTCGCTTCCACCAACCCTTTTTAACCAGGTCCTTCTTTAGTCCCCCTTGGTCCTGGTTCTTTACAGAACGAGCTGGTACTAAAGTGTTATAACTGACAGTGATTGACCAGAGTGCTTGTTACCATGGTTACCAAGGACTTTCCCCCGATAGTGAATTGTTGTGACTACACCACCTCTGCTGCTGTGACACAAAGTGCTTTTTAGGATGATACTTATATGATATGATACTCTGCTACTGGACACCTGCATTTCTACTACGGGGGATCAATAAATTATCTGTCAATCAATCAATCAATCAAGTATCAATATATCTGTGTATATGTTGTAAATGATTTGTTTCCCCTTTGTAGGAAAAGCGCTGTACACATAAACATTGATTGATTGGTACATTATATACAAATTTTTTCCATTATTTGTGATTTTATTCTGTTTTTAATGTATTTATTGATGTCTCTGATTTGTGTGATACTATGTGGGTTGTGAGGCGCTTTGAGTGGCCTTGTGTTGGAAAGGCGCCATACAAATAAAGTTGATTGATTGATTGATATCCCGCAGGATAATAACATTGCACAGGATTGCAGTATTTGCAGATGAGATGACATGTACAAACTCAGCAGTTCTCATTGTACAGTCTGACAGCTACAGGAAGGAAATATCACAAAATGTATCCTTATCTGACATTAATTTGCTTCTAAAATATGACCTGAAAAAGTAAATACTCTCATTATATGTTTTTAATGGAAAAGAATGAAGTGTCATATTTCTTTTTTTAAATTATGGCCGTTAAACCAGTCCTCAACGCTATCCCTAACCCGGTCCTGGTCTCTGCCCTTTATGGACCAATGGCTCTATGTTTTTATTTTATTTTTTATCATTGCATTTCCAGAACCTACTGATGTGATTTAGGGCCATACAAAAAAAACATGAATTGAAGTTGAAACCGTTGAGTTCAATGAGTCCAGTCTTAACCTAGCCTGGCCTTAGCCTTTCGGACACTCTGATCAATTATCATTTCACTGCAGCTGTAAAGTCTGGGTCTGGTCCCTGTGTTTGCGATTACAATCGGTTGAATTCCATTCGACCAATCAGAGAGCGCGGGAGGCGGGTGTTGTACTTAGATGTGGGTGATGTCAAGAGTTTGCGCCAAAAAGGGTTGGTTTTAGTTTGGCAATGGCGAAGAATGTGATAGTAAAGTATTCTGGTCTGGTTCTATCAATAAATTGAAGCCGGAGCAAGAGGATTGTTTAGCAAATGTAATCGCTGGCAAAGATTGTGGCTAAAGCTAGGCTAAATGCTAACGACTCACTCGGGCTCATAACATATGTCACAGTAAACTCAGATCCAATCGTTTCAATCTGCAAAAGGAGTTAACCCCTCCCACCTGTTCACGGAGCTCAATGGAACAAATCCAGACCTTAGTATGAAATGTAATTTGTACTAAGGTGTGGTACGACCAGGCTAGTCTTAACATGAAGACTTGCAGAAATTGTGTAATGTGGCGGCAAGAAAACCCAAGTGCAAACAACAAAAAAGGGTAAAAAAATAAATAGATATATTTACAAAAACAAAAATAGCAACAACAAAAAACAGCAGCCCTGACAAATGGGTGGAGTCTGCTGTGCTCCTGCTCGGTTGGAATGAAAACCTGCAGCCACACCCGCCTCCTTTGGGACCAGTTTAACAGCGGTGTTTCTGGAGGTGAATGTTCTCTGAGTGGATCTGCTGAAAGCTTCAGACAGATCATCTTTATGACCGAGCGTCGTCCTGGGCCTGTCATATTCAAGAATGAGATCAATGCTTTGTAATTGACTCCATTGACCCGACGTTCTCGTCCTTTGTCGTTTTTCCACTGAGGATAAATCACTGGTGCCTCCTCTCCCACTATCGCTGCTCTCCACCGTGGCCTTCTGCTGCAGTCTTTGTTTTCCATACTCTGAATAATGACTTCATGGCAGCGCCGCTTTAACCCCAGGAACATGGCACACGCTGGACTTTCCATCCAACAACAGGCTTTTCCTTTCTCCGCACTGGGAACGCAGAAGGAGCCACTTCACGGGACACACCAGCCATTTTTAGATTCATAAACATATTCATACTTGAGAGACAATGACGGATTTTTACATCAATTTTTTTTTAAGGTTTTTCTCCGATTTTTTTGTCATGATTTCTTTTTGTTTGTTTTTTTTCTATACATTTTTGATGGATATTTTGGCTTTAAAAAATGATTGTATATTAGCAATACCAATATACAACTACTATTTCTAATATACAATAGGGTATGACTAATGTAAATAAATAAGTCATCTTTGCTCATCAAGATTAAGACTTTATTGGTCCCACAGTGAGGAAATGTCAGTGTTGCATCTCCAGTTCCAGAGCAGTAGGAATGAGGAGCACACAGCACAAGATAAAGGAACAATAACATAATATCTCTTACTTTATTATAATAAAGAAGTTAGTAAAAAACAATTTATAGTGTATTCAAGAAATATAAAGTTGTATATACACAATGTACATGTAGCAGATTACTGATTAAGCTGTAGTTATCTGCAGTTCATTCAGAGCGATCGTGGGCGTCTTGGCTGCATCTCTGATCAGTCTTCTCCTTGTTTGAGATGAAAGTTTGGAGGGACGGCCGGGTCTTGGTAGATTTGCAGTGGTCTGATACTCCTTCCATTTCAATATAATTGCTTGCACAGTGCTCCTTGAGAT